TGTACACCTTTCTTTTATTACTAAACACTTAAATTTCACTCTGTTCCAAAACTTATTTTCTAATTATTCTGGTATAAACATAATTGGTTTTTGCATATTGCCTCCATACCCAGCATCCTTTCTGAATGTTTATTTCTTTCAATTGTTTCGACTTCAAGTGATTGATAGTTCATAGTGCTTTATGGGTAGTCCAGTAAAGCAGGAGAGAAAAGAAACTGTTATCAAGGGAAGGGAATAAAGGAGCCAACCTGAAATTTCATTTTTGCTACCAATAATCCACTAAGTGCTTGATAAAAAGACAGCATCTGGTCTTTTGCATTTACTTAGTTTTTAGGACCTTTCCCCTTATGAGTGTCCATAACATCTCTGGCTCTTTTCTTGTTCCTAGCTATCATATCATTGCTACAAAGCAATATTAAAGTGTTCAGCCAAATCAAATACCACTTGCAGAAAATGTTCCATCAATATGAGATTGTGATAAGTTAACAGAGGTGGGTGGTGAGAACAGACTCGTTGTGTCCAGGGCAAGTGTGACAGGAATGAATAAATTTGGCATGATTTCTCTATTCTGTTTCTGTGTCCTTGCTTAAGCAAGCAGACCTTTCGATCATTTTCTTATTTGCCATTGCCTTTCTGTCCCAGCATGTTGCTGCTACTCTTCATCCTGGCTTTCTTGGTGCATGTGGCTGGATGTATTGCTGTAACATCAGCAGGCTTTTGCCTTCAGTCAGAGGCTCAGGATTCTAGAAATAGAATTATACCACAAGAAAGTCCAGGGGAGAGGTCAACAGAGCAGGACCTGAGAAACAGAACTGAACTCATTAAGCAGTTATTGAGCACTTAGATGTCGCATACTAGGTTGGGTATAGGTTTTCCTTAGTCCTGACAGCACCAGGTTGCCCATCGGAGCTGTAACAAAATTCTGTTTTATAGGTTTGCTAGAAAACATGATGTTATTCAGGTAAACTCAACATTTTTCCCCATTCTAAGAATACATTCTAAATGAGACAGTTGGGTCTGTAGTGTCCTGTAAAAATTAAACAAAACAACCCCCCTAAATAAAACTCAAAATATGTTTTTGTTTATATTTTTTCTTCCTACTCTTTATCTGTTGGGAAAGGTTTCTTGTATTCTTTAGGAGGAAAGGATGGCTAGATTCTTGCAGACCTGGATCTACCTGGTGATAGATATTTGGATTTCTTCTGCAGCAGAGGAGGTCAGAGATCTTTATTCTAGCCAAAAGGAGCCAGTAGCCAATTAATTCTTGTTTTTCTAACTAGAAAGCATGCCCCAGATGTTTGCTCCTCACTCCCCCGACTAAGAACTGATGAACAGGGGAAAAAGAAAGCAAAAGGTCACGATAGTGGAAATCTCTGCTTTTCCTAGACAAGGTAAGCCATGGGCCCACACACCTGGACACTGCTGCTGTGTGACTTTTCACATTCATGTTTGCTTCAGCTGGAAGCAAGGAGCTTAAATGGGAGTTTGTATATGCTTTGTTGTTGCTCTCCTCTAGTGCCCGAGATAAAGAACATTCTGACAGAATTCCGGTTTGTTTCTGAACCAGCTGAGCTGAAAAGATTTTTTTTTTTAAATCCCTTTTCAGATTGGTTGGATCTGATCAATATACCTCAGAGGCTAAGCGTGGTGGTGGCTGTAGTACAGCTACAGAGCACTGACGGAACAGAACTGTGGGAACCAATGAGTACTGAGATATTGCCAGTTGAAAATTCAGCGCTTTTTCTCTGTGGACCATACCCTCCCACGTATTGTTAGAGCATTTCTGAGCTTATGTTCACATTCCTCGAGGCTGTTCTTTCCTCCTTTTAAACTGTCTTTTAAAACAAGATAGAGGACCGGAGCATTGAATCACTGGTTAAGAGCGTTTGCTGCTTTTTCAGACAAACCAAGGTCGGTTCCCAAAATCCAGGAGGCTCACAGCCACTTTTTACTCCAGCTCTAGAGGATCCCATGCCACCTTCTGGCTTCTTTGGGCATTGCATGCACATGGTACCCAGATAATACATGCAGAAAAAAAATCCTTAAACATAAAATAAAAATAAATAAACTAGGTAGACACAGTTTTAAAATTTAAAGATATTTCATTACTATATCTTTATATGCATGGGTAAGTTTTATCTGCATGTAAGTCTGTATACCATGTGCATGTCTGGTACCTGCAGATGCCAAAAAAGAATTTTGAGCTGTAGTTACAGATGGTTGTGAGCCACCATGTATGCTCTGGGAATTGAACTCAGGTCCTCTGGAAGAACAGCTAATGCTCTTAACTGTTGGAAAACCTCTCTATCTCAATCTTTATGTTTGCAATGCTCATCTACTAGAGGTAGCCTTCAATTATAACCGACTGAGTTATCCATTGCCTTCACTCCAATAGTTTCATCACTTGAACCAATAATGAGTAACTACGCAAAGTGCTCCTGTATATATCTGGAATATAAAGACTTAAGTTTCACTAAGTCTGAACTTGATATGATAATCTTTCAGAACAAATAACACTTTAGAGATGTAGAGCCAATTAACACAGCCACAGGAGTGGGAACTCGAGCAGTGGTTTATTGCTACACCAGGGGCCCTAGACAATTGGAAGTCCAGCCCGAGTGTATTAGTTCATCCAATTGCATTCATTCTTTCTTTTTAGATTCCTTTGTCCTTTCAACTTTTCTTTTTATTCTGAGATCTTTCAGATCTCAAAGGAAGATGATCAATGAACTCCCCCTTGGTATGGAACAATATTACAGGGGCTTTTATCCCCTTCCTCAATGGAACAAGTGCAGCTGCTGCCTTTCATTTTATGCCTTGTCATCTGTCAGAGAGATGGCTATATTGCCCTAATAATGTCTGATACGTTTCCACTCTTTATCCTTAGCCCTGTAGCCTGGGGTGTTGAATTCTTTCCCTCAGATTGCACCTCTGTTCTCCTAGAATTTCAGACTGCAAAATCTTTTCTTGGTACCATGTGCTTCTCTCAGTCACAATGTCAGCAATACATCCAGAGGCAGTAATCAGGTAGGTAAAAGGCATTGAGGTTTACTGCTCAAATCACAAAAATCTCAAAACCAAAAAAAAAGACATATTCTAGGCTATGAGAAGAAAAGGTAAATAAAATCTTACATTTGCAAGTTCTTTCCCCCCTGTTACTCTTTGATATAACCAATACTGTTGAATTGAGGAACAATCTCTGGTTTTGTAACAAATTTGACTTATGAAATGCTCTGTCCATCTGGAGGACTTCCTATCTCATGGGGCCTGTCATGCCCAGGTCTGTAGACTATGCACTTTATCTGCTAGATCAACAGCCACTGAGGCACAAGTTCAAAGCATTTTAGGGGTGCAGTTTTCTCAGAGTTTTGTGTACAGTTCAGCTGAAGTTCACTTCCTGGCTCAAACATTTATACCTCTTATATTTGTGCTGTAGTCATCTAATGTTCATAAAATGGGGATAATAATGGTACTGAGCACATATGACTGTATTAAGGATTGATAAGTAAAGGGAATGGAATATTACCACTCAATACTAGCTTGAATTCATATCTTGAAAGCTGACTACAGATAAAGTGAATGTTTATAGTCTTTGAAATTGTGTTTTAAGAGAAAAGTATGATATATACATATTTCAATTTCCTGTATAATCTGGTTTAAAAAGGAAACTTTGAACCATGAAGAATAAAAAGTTACTTACCTAATTCACAGTTCCTTCCTTCAAATCCAACTTGGCACCAACATTCATAGGAATTAATATCATCCTTGCATTTTCCACCATTTAAACAAGGATTTGACTCACATTGATCTCCATCTTTAAGACAGGTTAAGAAATTGAATTATCAGACAAACTGCTTAGAATGCTCAGTCTTCCCCTGAATAGACCTATGAGAGTAGGATTCTAATTTTAGGGTTAGAGAAGAACTACCAAGCTTCACTTAACTGCATATGGGCAAGTGATGCACTTGTTTTTCCAAGTTTCTAAAACCCACTACAGCAAAATCCAATGCCATCCTAGAAATTGTAGAGAGGGAGGTATATACAGTTTATACAATCCAAGGGAAGAGGGAAGATGCGTTTGTATGGAAATGAGTGTATCTGCAGACAACGAGAGAGATTGTTCATGTTTCTTCATGGAATGGGAACAGGTTAACCATAAATCAAATCAAATTAAACCACTTTAACAAATACTATTTATATTTCATAAGAGCATATTTTATTGCAGGTATTATAGAGCAAGCTGTTTTAGACAATAAAGGCATTTCCACTCAAGGAACTGGCAGATCAGGCACAGGGCAAATGCATCCATTTACGTATCATATGAAGCAAGGGATCTGTGACAACAGGGAAGGTGCCAGAAGCTTAAAGATAGTTTTCTGCCTACCAGTTAGGATCCAAGTGGGCAACAATATTCAGTGCATCAACAGAAACTTAAAAGTACTATTGGATGTGCTTTATGGATAGATTCGTTGTTTCCATTACATGTTGTGAAGTTCCTACATTTACAGTATTTGAAGACACCAATAGTAAAACAAAAAAACAAAAATAAAAAAAAACAGGAAGAAGGAATAGGCAAGAGGGGAAGGGTCAGGAACAGATGGGAACCTTTAGGTTTGCTTTCTTAGTGTTTGGCTTTCATTTATACTAGTAAAAAAGCTTCAGGGGGAATAAGGTGACTCCAAGTAGGAGAGAGCTGTGTATTTTGAGCCATAGAAAAATTACTAACTAGGTCTGCAGGATTCCACATATGAGAAAGAAACCATAAGATAAAATGGTATTGAAGATCAAAGAGAGAAAAACAGGAGGAATCAAAGAGAAATTTTTAGTTATTAGCTATACTTTATATATAGCCAAACTCATTGACATATATTGTGTAGATTCCCATATACTTTTCCTACTATCTGATAGAAGCATGCATCTAGGTTCTGTAGTCTAAGGGACTAGAATTCTTTTTCAGAAATAAACTCTCTGGAAAATTGGATTGCTGTAAAAATTAGACCTTGCCCTCTCTGCCCCTTGATCCAATGTGCTTTTGCACAGATACTGCAATTTGTTCCAGTTCTATGAAAACAAAATACATTATCTCTGGTTTATTATTATTGATGTTCAGAACTGGTCTAAAAATGAGCTACATTTGCACTTTACATTATAGACCAATGAATCTGAATTATTTAGGGTGTTTCAGTGAAAGGGTCTGGGCTTGCAGCCAGCCACACAGGAAACTCATTTGCTGAGACATATCTTCAAAATGAGTGTCATTTTATTTTGCATTTAGTCCTCCTTTGGGTTCCTATCTCTGTGTACTATAGGCCAGGAGAAAGCCATAGTTAGTAGTGGTCAAAGTCAGCAGGAAACAAGACCAGACAAGTGGGATTCTCCTTTAATACTGCTGAGTTCTGGTGCTGGAGAGGTGGCTCAATGCTTAAGAGCACTTGCTGTTCCTGTAGAGGACCTGGGTTCAGTTCCCACCACACACATGGTTGTTTATTGTAGTTCATAACTCCAGTACCAGGGGATCTGATGCCCCCTTTCTTGCCTCCATGATACCAGGTACACATGTGGTACGCAGACACCCACACAAACAAAATATTTAATACACATAAAATGAAAAGAAATAAATCCTTAACAACAATAGCAGTAGCACCAGCAACACCAGCAGACTACAGGTTCCTATTTAATGAATAGCAACATTCAGATTTCAAGGTCATGAGGTATTACAGTGAAAGAAAGGGGTTGGTAAGAGAACTTGGATTGTTTTCCAGGTCTTGTGACTCCCCAGTTGGGTGATCCAATGCAAATCCCTTACCCTGTCTATGCCTGTTTCCTTCTCTGTGAAGCAGAATTCATTATGCTTCTCACATGGGAACATGCGAGGGTTAAATGTGGTGGCTATTGTAGAGACTGTTTCTGTGAACTGTACTCTACAGGGTACCTGACAGATGATAGTTTAGTCAGGCTGCTTGCAGATGAGGTCATGGTACAGAATGACACAGCAGTAAGGACCCTGGTCCCAGGCTATTTCTGAGCAGCAGAAGGTAACTTTTATGGTGGGTAGGAATCTTAACTACACGTGAAAACAGACATGGGCTTTATTCTTTTTCTGTTCTTGTTTGTGTTGTTTAGATTTTGATAGTGAAAATAGTAGTGACAGAGTATGCCCTTGAGGTTTCATGGAATTTGTAATTAAGGTATAGCAAACATTGCATTTAGCTCACCTAAAAAGCCATTGCCCAACTTCCATGTGTGCCACTTGGCTGGGGCAGGGGCTGGGGCAGGGGCTGGGGCAGGGGCAGGG